TGATCAGTTTCAACAGGCTGAATCTGGACGCCAGTTCCGACTTACATACAGATTCAACTTAAGAACCCCAGGCGTCCCCAAGTCAGCTGCTACCCCCCAGCAGACCAGGGAGACGCGGAGCAGCTTTTCTCGCCCCGGAGGACGCGGGCGGCGGGACCGCGGCGCGTCTGGACGGTCCCGCCGCCCGCATCCTCCGGGGTGAGAAAAGCCCCGCTCGTAAGTACGGATCCGACATATGTCGGATCCGCGTAACTTGGGGACTGCCTGTACTGTGCTTTTGCTCCTTACCTTTGGGCTCCCAAGAACAGCAATTCCTATCGACAGCTTTCTCTTCTGCCCTCCACTTAATTTTTTAGCTTGGTTATCTCGGATGGGCTGTATATCCAAATCATTCATCACTTTCTGCACCTTTAAAAATATAACAACAGGGTCTGATGTCAATATAAATGAGATACAGTGATTAAAAAGTGACTGGCACAATTATCGACAATCTTACGTTAACTACTGACTAATTATTGATCATTTTAAATGTTTCTAATTAACATGTTAAGTCTCTTTCCTGGAATGAGCCTCTTTGAGGCAAATCTCAGTACCAAATGCCAACAAGGATCAGGTCCTTGAAGTTTAACCTAACAAGACTGGATAAATTATAGGGGGTCCATGTTTGTAAACATGCACTACTATTTAGACCATACATCACACCTCAAATATACTCACCCAGGAAATCAACCCTGCAATGAACCCCAGTGTCAACTCTGTCTACCCCTCTATTCAAGCGACATCATCACAGGACCTAACCACATAAGCTACCACATCAAAGGCTCATACAACTGCCCATCCACCAATGTGATATATGCCAGCAATGCCCCTCTGCCATGGATATTGGCCAAACTGGACAATCTCTATGACAAAGGATTAATGAACACAAATCAAATATTTGAACTGGTAACACACAGAAACCTGCTGGGGAACTTTTTAACTTGCCCAGGCACTCATTTATGGATTTAAAAGTGGCTATTCTCTTATAAAACAGTTTCAGGAATCAACTGGAGAGAGAATCTGTGGGACCAGTATCAAAATTGCATATGAAGGTTCTCTCGTACAGCCTGAACACCCAAATGACATCAAAACCTAAGTATCAGACACTTACAGCCTACTTACTCTTTAGCCTCATTTAGTATGGACACTTTAATTGACAGGGTTTTTTTTACTTTTTTTCTCCTCCCCATTTCTCTTCTTTATAACCTACTTCATAATCCAACCTCTGTATCTCTTGCCCCATTTGTGTCATCTGAAGAAGTGGATTGTGTCCACAAAAGATGCCATTTACATATTTTTGCTACTCTCCAAGGTGCTACAGGGCCATTGTTGTTTTTTAAGTTTTGGTACGTGTTTTTAGTTACAGACTAACACAGCTACCTGTCTGGTGCTATTTAGATGTTCCACTAATAGCAACAACTTCAACAAACTTTATTTAAAGAAAATTTACTTTACATGTTAGCCCTCTTCAATAAAACAGTGTATTGGACTTTATTATAAAACAGACTTACTTCAATAATGCAATCAATAAGACTATTTTAATTAACAGTGACTACATGTGTATAATTTATAGCTGAGTGACTTACCTCATGTATCACAAAATTGGGAGAGATCCCTTTAATCTGAGCAAATATTGATAAATTCTCTTCCACGGTCAATACATCAAAATGTATATCTGATTGTGGGCAAACCCCAGTCATCTTTCTTACATCGAGCATTTCATCAATTTCAGAGATTCTGTGTCCGTAGACAGATGCAAACCCTAAAGAACAACAAGTTTTAAAAAGTGGTTTTTAAACGCAACTACAACTTTGATTATCCACTAACTCCACCAATTGAAATGTATGTATAATTTAAAATTAACCTATCCTATCCTCAAAGATCAATGGCCACCGGTTTTGAAGGTAGGCAAAAAGGACGCTACAATAAGTAATTACTAGGGATATGAACGACAAGTCGCTTCCCCCGCCCCTACTTGCTGCCTCTATCAGCAAGAGGCAATGGGGGTGCGAGGAAGAGAAACAGGTGGTGCTTCAAAGTGGTAACGCTGCATGGAGCCTGGGGCCAGACCCTGGGCTCCACATGGTGCTGCTGCTTTGAAACGCCACGTGGAGCCTGACCCCTGGCTCCCTGTGGCGCTGCCACTTTGAAATGCTGCAGGGAGCATGGGGCCAGCAGGGGACTGCTTGAGTCCCGTGTTCCCTGCTGCGCTTTCACCTTTGAAGGCAAAGGTGCCCTTATTGACTATCTGATTAGCCAATTAATCTAAATTTAACATCCCTAGTAATTACACGTCCTGATTTTTAATTAACGCCAGAAGAGACTCACCATCAGAAGGTGGGCAGAGTCCACAAAGAATATTCATCAGTGTTGTCTTGCCAGTTCCGCTATGCCCAAGTAAAGCCGTAATCTGGCCCTCATATATGTCAAAGGACAAACCTGATCCAGAAAGAAAAAAGGAACGAGTGAAATATGAAACTAATGATACCTGTTGTGCTATTCTGCACTGGCTTACATCACTTTAGTTTATTAAAATTTTGACATGTAGGATATGTATTTACGTTGTACCCCCAGGAAGACATTTTAACACAGCCTGATGTGTATTGCAACAGCAGCAATAAATAAGTTAGGATTAGATTTCCTGGTAGCACTGTCTCTGAAGAGAGCTGATCTTAGAAGCTGTTAGAACAGTGGTTCTCAACATTGTGGACTGGAGATACAGCTCTCTTGTGTCCTATGGGATGCAGTTACACAATATATATATACTACCTGCATGTCCCTGGGGATGTCACATGGCCTGCAACTGGGTGATGATTGGGCAGTAACAGCCCACTAGTTGAGAACAACTGAATTTAGAGGCTCTCGTACCACCATCTTATGGGAGCCAGCAAGAGGGTCCTCTGTGCATACTCCCTTTAGCTAGGGGCCAGAAAAGGAGCCTGGGAAAGATGACATCCCACAAGGAATGGGAATTTAAGAGGAGGGAAATCCTATAGAATCTGTTACAAGCCCCTTTGTTATACAGTTACATTGTACTGGTTAGAGACACGAGGGAGAATACACACCAAGCACACTCTACAATTCATGCTCCCAAAGGGAAAAAAATTAATCACAAAAGACATTAAGTTCCTGGGTTACTTCTCCTTCCATTTCTGATAAGTAGCTTAGAAGCTAGAAGTTTTCTTACTTCTGAGAGCCTCCACAGTTTCACCCTTTTTCCTGAACGTTTTCTGAACACAGCTGATTCTGAAAGAAGACATGTAATTTTAAGAAGAAAAGAGCTTAAACTATCGTTTTCGTTTGCAAGGAAAGATTAGGATGAACAACTGCAATGTTGATATAGAAAGGTTTCGACACATTTTACAGCTCTGTGGAAGTCACACAAAATGTGTTGGAAAAACATGTAAGTGTATTAAGAGAATGGGCATCTTTTTGCAGTGTTTTGCTTAAACTGTTTATATTATTGCTGGTTTGCACTGGCAATACAGGGAGGTTTCCTTATTGACTGCGATATTTTTTTATCATGGAAGCTGCATAACTCTTTACAGTAACCCATACTGTTACTTATTTCCAATAGCATCAACCTTGTACAAGGCACTAAACAGCAAGGAAGGCCCAGTCTATGCCCCAGTGAACTCACAGGAGAGACTGACAGATGGTAGGAAGAGGAGAAAGACAAGATGGAACTAAGCAGCGTTTTCTCTAAGCTGAGCAGCTGCACAGCTTCACAAGTGATTAATCAGCCCCACCCAGGCAAAGGTACAGGGCTCCCTACAGGAAACTGACTGACTGGGCAGAGCTGATTAATCACCTGTGCAGCTGTTGAAGTTTAGAGGGAACATTGGTGTTAAGTAATACTAATGGTGCGTCTACACTGCACCGTTATTTCGAGATAACTAACGTTATTTTGAAATAACAATGCGAGCGTTTACACAGCCATTCCATTATTTCAAAATTATTTCAAAATAACAGACGGCTTGTTCTGAAATCTGAAAACCTCATTCTACAAGGAATAATGCCTATTCGGAAATAGCTATTTTGAAATAAGGCAAGTGGAGACGCTCCACTGCTGCTGTTTCGAAATAGTCTCTCATAAGGGCCATTCTAAGTTAGTCCTCTCTAGTGCCTCCTGGGGCTCTAAATTGAGATAGGACGTCTAGATTATGGAAGCCTGCCTTGGATTAATTTTGAGGCTTCCCCGGAGTGTAGACGTGCTATTTCGAAATAAGTTATTTCGGAATAACTATTCCGGAATAGCTTATTTCGAAACAGCCATGCAGTGTAGACGTAGCCTAAGTTAACCCTCATATGTTTTTCCTCTCTTAGGGTATGGCTACACTTTGGGGGAGGGGGGAGTCAAATATGGTATGCAAATTGCACTCATATTTGCATATCTTAATCCATTTTTTCCCCCCCAAAGAGAATTTTCCAATATTTGGCCTGTCTACATGGGGCCAAATGTCGAGAAAAAACCCTCTTTTGGAAGCCCCCTTATTTCTCGTAAAACAAAACGCACAGTGGGCTTCCGAAAGAGGGGGGGTTTCCAACATTTGGCCCCGTGTAGACAGGCCAAATATTGGAAAATCCTCTACCAGAAAAAAAAACAGAAGATATGCATATGTGAGCACAATTTGCATACCTTCTTCGAAACACGCTCTCCCCGCACCCGCCCCTCACACACACACAGTGTAGCCTTAAGGAGGATTTATGAAATCCACTTCCTCTCCCAAAATTTTTCCTCAAACTTATTAATATAAAGACAGTTCAGTTAGTTTCTCCAAAAGCTACCCTGAAAGAAGTAGCTCTTTGAGAATTACATGAACTCAAAGAGTACATAAGCCGTACAGATGACGTTAGGAGGGCGCAACCTATGAGTTGAGAGCAAGGTGGATGGAAAAAGGGGATGAAAACTTTGTGTGAGAAGGTAACAAAAATAGGAAGATGACACTGACATCACTGGCAAAAGCACTGGTTGATGTAGAATGAGGCAAGGAATAAGAATGATCCATTATTTTATGTGAGCTTAGGAAGACAGGGAAAGGAAACCTGACTCGTTGCACTGACATGGATTTATTCAAAACGTATTAAGACACTAACAAACACCCCCCCCCTTCCAATCTATCTGTTTGTGGCCAAATACAAATATTTTTGTTTGAGACTAATGGAGCCATATAAGCAAAACGAAGGATTAGACTATTTCCCCCATGTCTACCATGCCACAAGAACAGAAAACAATAGCAAAGATTTAATAGCACATGTGGGTGATTAAGAATAAACTCGGGTATTAAAAATTGGAAATACATGAAGGCACAGATGTAAGAATTCACGTTATTTTCAAAATGTGCTGGAAATGGTTCATTTTAAACTGTTTTCTTTTGTGGGGTCGTTTCATATCATAGTCCAAGAAAGCTAGTCTAGTGGCTCCTCCGTGTGGCTTGGGTGGAATGTGCAATTTTTCACACAAATATCAACAGGTTTTACAAAACATATCTGAATCTAGTTCTTCAGATTTCACACAGAAATGCTTTTTTCTAAACCCACCTGACTTCAGCTTCTGAAATCAATCATGCCACTTATGGCATCAATGAAACAAAAGAACCTGGATTTCATTTTGCTTTCTCCTGCTAGACTTAAGACTATTTTCGGAAGGCTTGATTTGATGGGTATACAGTAGAAAAACACTTCCTTTACCAAAACAAACATTGTCATAACCGGAAAACATCCATATAATAGAAGATGTGGCTTCATAAGAAATGGACAACTGCTACTCTAATGGGGAAAGAACTAAATGTAATGCATAGCATGTGCTATTTGAATTCTCAGATTATAAATTACTGTTAACTGCCAGACACACACTACATAGGGACAGTGGTACAACGAATCTGTGCCAGCAGGAAGTTATACCTGATCGCTTCTTTTCCCTGAAATTCTGAAGGTACAGGTTCGACTATCTCACTGAAACGCAGGCTTCCATTAACACTACTCTCATACAACTCTCTGTAATTTCTTCTGCGCTTTGACCAGAAGGAGGGCTTCATAAAGAAAAATGATGTCCGTCGTAATCCAAACTCACCTAGTAAGAATAAAAGAAAGCCTCGTGAATGTTAAGCAGAGAGAGGATTTCCAGGGTTTGGATTTTGCTTTGGAAAACTGGGCCTGATCCTGCCACATTGCTTATTTTGGCATTAAACCCATCACTAAGGTTCTGGTTAAGAAAAGCATCGCTATTCAGCAAAGTCTTTCCTTAGAGAAGTGATGGATTTGTGCAAGTACTTCAATACTTTCCAGAACTGGGATACTGAGAAGGGTGATTTCAATACAGGTTGGATCTCCCGGCTATGTCTACATTCGCGGCTTCTTGCGCGAGAAATATGCAAATGAGGCTAAGTGTGGAATATCCCCAAGCCTCATTTGCATACCTAATGAGCCTCCATTTTTGCAGAAGAGGCTCTTGCGCCAGAAGGATCTGTCTACACTGCCCCTTCTTGAGCAAGAAAAACCCTCTTGCGCAATGCCGCTACGCTGATTATTTTCAGGAAGAACGGCATTGCGCCAGAGGGTTTTTCTTGCTCAAGAAGGGGCAGTGTAGACAGCTCCTTCTTGCGCAAGAACCTCTTCTGCAAAAATGGCGGCTCATTAGGTATGCAAATGAGGCTCTGTAATATTCCATACTTAACCTCATTTGCATATTTCTCACGCAAGGAGCCGCAAGTGTAGACGTAGCCCCCTGATCTGACACTCTTGGTACCTGACTAGTCCCGGATGAGGGATTTTGCTGGACCAGGAAAGGTCATTTCTGGCTCTGCTGCAGCCGGTCCTACATTCTGCCCCTGCCACTACACCGGGCTTCCTCAAGCAGCCCTGCTGAGCTGCACATCGGGCTTCCTGGCTCCTCCCACCCCCATAGTCCAGTTGCGTGCTGAGCTTCTCAGCTTTTGGCCCCTGGCAGCCCAGCTGGGCCGTGAAATGTCCTCCCGCCCCCTCCTTTGCATCGGGCTGGGCCCCATGCCCTGCAGTGCACCGAGACACTCTGATCCTGGAACATCTGTGGTACTCCTGGACCACGGATGTTGTCAAACCAGAGTGTCCTGGTTTATAGAGATGCAACCTGTATATCTGTAATAAAAGATCATAAAGAAAGGGGTTTGTACTGAAAGATCTTACACATACGGTAGAGGAATTTGTTCATCAGTATTAATAAATTGGCTCCTAGATGTATCACACTTATTAACACATCAATAATATAACAAAACATCTTGGGTAGACAATTCCCAAACAGTGTTCCCCGTATGCTGTGCGTTTGTGCGGCCACTCAAGAGAGATTCAAATGCCACCCAGCTGATTAGCAGCGCGCACACACCGAGGTTTTTCTTTCTCCTGATGGTACACATTCACATATGGCTGAGTGCACATGCATATTTTGTTCTGCATATGAATGGAAAAAAAATCTGCACAGGACAGAAAAGATCAGAAGGAACATTGTTCTCAAGAAACATAATCGCAACGGTTGTGATAATAGTTTGATCAATAAGGGCACGTCCAAACTACAAAGATTTTTTGAAAGAGGATATGCAAATTCCACAGTAATTTGTATATCTTCTTCTGATCTCATTTTCTAAAGGGATCTTTCAAAAATGAAAGTAATCTGGACACTTTTTTTTCCTGAAAAAAAACTTTTTCTAAAAAATGCGTAAACCTCCTTTTTTAAGGAAGAGCCGTTTTTTTCTAAAAAGTTTTTTCCACGAAAAAATGCGTCCAGACTACTTTCCTCTTTCAAAAAATCCTCTTTCAAAAAATCTTTGTAGTTTAGACGTGCCCTACGGAAAGAAAATGATTCTGAAAAATTTCCTAACCACGCAGAATTAAGCCTACCCTCTGAGTTTCTCCATCTGGGATTCATGGGCATATTTTAGAAAAGTAAAATATATGAATTTTAATTTAAACAGATTTTTAAAGTAACATTTAAGACATTTATAAATACTTTTTGCTTGGCATGACTATTACTTTACATATAGTTGAAGGTAAAGAAAAAACATAAGAAGTGCCATTACTGTCTAGCAAAGTGTTATTTAAATACAGTATGTTAGAGCCATCAAGTAAGGAACTGGTTTTCAGAGTACTTTTAGCATCTCAAGCAGACACAAACTTCAAATGGAGTTATGAAACTCAGGATCAATGTGGTTCTGCTCAATATTTCTCACGGATTCTAAACAACATACCTGGAATGACCTGATCAAGATAGACAGCTAGCAATAGGTAAAACACGCTATCCAGAACCAGTAAAATCAGACAAATAAATAGTGGATAAGGACCACGATATAAGTTTGAAAATATTGCCCCATCTTCATAATCTTCCAGGTACATGACCTGCAAACCAACACCAAAAAGTTTAGACACCATAAACTGCATCGTTACCATCCTGAAACTAAACAGGACAAACACAGTCCAAAAATAAAATTACAAAGTAATATTATATAAGAACAAAGGATGAGTGGTTGTCATAATAACAAAGGCAAAAAAACAGATGTAATACTAGTTTCAAATTTAAAAAAACTATAGCACGCAGTATTTTAGTTCACATTAAGTTGTTTGCTGCAGAGACTTATAAGCAATCATGTTTTATGCCATGAATAAAATAAAAATACAAAATTCACAAATGTACAGAAAATCATTAAAACTGCTTAAAAATATTTGCAGGGTATTTGTAATCGGAGAAGTCAAAGTTATATCTTAAAAAAAGAACAGGCACAGGGAGGCACATCAATGGTTCATTTAGCCTGGTAATATGCCTCTGACAGTGGCCAGTGCCAGATGATTCAATCAGACAGAAGGTTAGAGACATCCTGACCATGAGGTTGTGTCCCTGACAGTCTTGGTGAATAGCCAATGACACACCTATCTAGTGATGTAAGCGACTAGTTGACTATCCAATAAGCATATGCTTATCCGATAGTTGACTCAGCTAGTCACTTTCCCCTGCCCCTTGCTGCCTCTATTTGCTACATTTCAAAGGCGGAGGTGCCCTTATCGACTAATCGATTAGTCAATGCAAACTGTATCAACTATTCGATTAGCTGATTAATCCAAATTTAACATCCGTAGATCTACCTTCCATGAACATATCCAATTCTTTTTAGAACTCATGCGTGCTTTTGGCCTTCACAACATCCCATGGCACCAAGTTCAACAGGTTGTGTGAAGTTTGTTTTAAACGTGTTACCCAGGGAAATTGGGAAGTAACCCCTAGTTGTGTGTTAGGCGAAGGAATAAAAAAAATATATAAAATTCACAAGGTTGCAAAAAAAAACCACCCTATTTAAAATGAACTGAAATAGAGGCAAGGCAAATATTTGCAGTGTATCAAAATATCAGGCAAAATGGAGTTGAGTTTACTGGCCAGTAATTGCCAGGATCCTCTCTGGACCCTTATTAAAAAACAGATGCTACATTAGCTGTCTGCCAGTCATCTGCTACAGAGGCTGATTTAAGTGATACGTTACAGACAAGTTACATCTTAAAGAAGTGGTGGTTAGGCGCTAGACTGGAACCTGCATGGCTTAGGTGCAATTCCTTACTCTGCAACAGACTTCTTGTGTGACTTTGGCAAGTCACTTAGCCTCTCTCTGTCCCAGCTCTTCCTCTGTACAATGGGCATAACAGTTCTTCCCCACCTCCCAGGGGTACTGTTAGGAGAAATACATTAAGACCTTGTCTATACATAAAGCGTAGCCACAGCAGCTCTTCAAAGTAAAATTGTGGCCATAACTCGAGTGCCGGAAAGCTCTCTCCCACCGCTCTACGTAAACCGCCTTGGTGAGGGAAGTAGCTAAAAGGGCTGGGAGCGCAGATTCCAGCTCTGTGACCTGGTTCACACTGGTGCTTTACTGCGCTGTATTTGGCTGTGCTTGAACCACTGATTTTCACACCCCTGAGCCAGAAAGTTACAGCGCTGTAAGGTGCCAGAGTAGATTTGGCCTATGACTGTGGTGATGAAGTAAGTACCTTACTTAGATCTTATACTAAGTTGTGCTTCATTGGTTTGTGCGTGTAAAGGCAGTATAGAGTAACACAAAGAGTTTACTTACCTGTGCAACCCCAATCAAGAAAGTACAATGACAAAAGGGGCTTAGAATCCATACAAAAGACTTCGGAAAATCCTCTAACAGGATAATAGCAAGACCCACAAAACCAAACGCCAGTGTTGCCAAAAATTCAACTATGCCCACATGCTTTGATTTTTTAAACAGAGGAGTCAGCATAAAAGCAAAGAAAACCTAGAACATAAAGGAGAAGGTCATTACAGAGCACATGAAATCTGGCATAGAAATGCTGCATTTTTACCGTCAATGAACAAGTTACTTTCCTTGCACAATACTTGCAATGTTTTGCCAAGTCTTTGTGCCTGTTAACGTCAATACTTTTGGTCAAAATAGACCTTTAACAATACAGTTGATTTTCTAATATTATCCCTACCGCAGAGCAAAGAACTGAACTGTTAAACTATAAATTAAAGGAAACATAATTCAACGTTCTTTATATTATTCAATTTTTCAATGATAAATCAAGAAACTACAATAAATACCACAATTTTTAAAAATATGCTTAGTAACTTGTGTAGAGTCAGACAGTAACTAAGTGGAATCTCTACATTTCAAAGTTACAGTCACAAAGTTATTCAAAAGCCTCAGGGGGTAGCTGTGTTAGTCTGTAACTGTAAAAACAATGATCATCTCATCTGAAGAGGTGGGTTTTGCCTATGCAAATTCATGATACCATATAGATACATTTTTGTCAGTCTCTAAGGTGCCACAGGACTACTCGTTTTTAATGTTATTCAAGTGTCCCACAGTTGCACAGTAAAAGGAACATAGAACAATATTTTGCAAAGCTTAGAGAAGACAGACCAAGGGAAGCTGAGAGTCAGCATAAGATTGGTGTAAGGCCCTGTGGGTCTAGAACCCAGACCTGCAATCTCCATGGTGTCATTTAGCAGCATGTGTAATCACTCCACTGCTCTGGATCCACTGTGGACACAGATCATGGGAAGCCCCGTCTCCACAGGTCTGACAGACAAGCAGCCCCAAAGCTCCTGATTGGCTCACAGTCCTATATCAACTTAAGGGACGTGGCAGGAAGTGGCCAGGCAATAATGTTCTGTAGAGTCTATGACCATTCCTTGCTCCTGACCTTCTGGCTTCCATCTCAGCTTGTTCTGGGCTTCATCTTCTGACGCAGACCCTGAAACCGGACTTGGATTCTGATCCATGGCATCAACCGTGGCCTGGAACCTGATTATGCAACCCTTCACTACTCCCTGCCTCCAGTTTGCTCCTGCTCTGACCCATGGTTCTGCCTGCCTGCACTGGGAGGCTGCCAACAGGACTCTTCCTTCATTAGAGGCTCATACTTAGATGCTGGATGCCAGTGGTGGGCAACCATGGTGGCAAAGACAGTGTTCTGAGGGAAGTTTTTGTTGTGGCAGAGTTTCTAGAGGAAATTGGTTGTGTCCTTCAGGAAACTGTCCCTTTGTATGGTGAGTGGTTTGAAGATGGTTTCTATGAATCCATATTGGCTCAGTAACAGAGCTATGGACAGATATGGTTCTGCCTGGGTTTCCCAGTTATGTATCTTGCAGAGCATGCAGACGATCCCTGGGGTGGGTTTGTGAGGGAAACATTATTCTTGTATTGATGATATGCTTCAAGACTTGTGTGAAGAAGAGCTCTATGAAGCTTAAAGTTTTCTCCTTCCCTTAACAGAATTTCTTTCCACTGATAAAGATTTTACCTCACCTATCTGGTGTCTCATATATGCTGGAACTAACATGGCTACACCATCGCCAGAAACTAGAGTACATGGCATTTTGGGAGGCTGAGCCAGACTTGAAGTAGTGGAGTAAAATAAGCAAGAATAAACAAACCTTTGAAACATCCCATAGTGTTTGATTTTAACATATTTCTGCACCTTGATATTTCCTATTCCAAGTATACTACGTTTAGTAAACACTTCCATAAATTTAAATACTATGGCACGGGAATTGTTGGTGTTCCAGTGACCACATTAGCATATGTGACACTGAGAAGCAACATAAAAACTTCAAAAACCAATACAAGGGAAGAAAGAGAATGGTGTAATAAAGGCAGCCATTTTACCATTTTGGGTAGGAAAAATGGCATTGGGAATGAGTCTGGAATGGGGGAAACAGTGCCTGGGAAGAAGCACGTTAGAGAGAGTGACCTCAATGATCCACAAACAAACTGAATTCATGAAACACTTACTGAGGAGATTCCATACAGGAAAAAAAGAAAAAATATCACCAGAGGGCTACTTTGGGGAAACAGAGAGGAGGCTGTTCCAATGACCGCCATGAGAATGGACATGACAAAAATCAGAGTTGTGTACAGCAGAACCCAGGACAGCCTGAAAGGGAAAAAAACAAGGGGGGAAAATCATAGATTCAGTAAATTATCGCACTGGAATCATTCCAAATTACAATTCTTCAGTATTCCAGAATGCTGCACAAAAGGAACAACAAAAATAATGTGCCAAAGTCTCAGAGGAAAGGAGTTCTCCAAGTGACAGTATTATTCTAAACATTATTGCATGCACTTTCATACTAACTGCATCAACATAAAGTAAGGCATTGTTCAGAATCTATAATTTTGTAATTTCCATAACTAATTCCTTAGCTTAACTGAAACAAGGTAAAGTGAGGAGCAACTTTCAATAATTAAAGAAAATGCTACTTAAATTTTAATGCTCTTATCCATCCTGTAACACAATATTCTTCTATAGAAAATAAACCTTGCTGAAAAGTCAGGGAACTCTTTCTTTCTTAGGGAGCAGATGCAGCCTGAACAAGGTAAGAAATGCAACACATTTTACTGGGCTAACAACTCACTAGATTAGCCCTTTTATAAGTGCTTCCATTTTTCAAATGCCACCTAAAAACAACACGCCAGCAAGGATTCATTTTATAGAGGGGTTCCCTAAAGCAGAGAAGGGAAGGGAATTGGCCACACGTACCTAGAAATAGTGACAGGCAGACGGAAGTAGTCTGATGATATTTGAAAATCAAGGGCTTGATCATGCATTTATGAGTCAGGCTACTCCAACGCAAATCAATTGAACTACTCACAGTAAAAAAGGATTATATTTAATGGGAGCTTTTTGCAGGATACAGTTGGAGTACATCAATAGCCACCCCTACTGGGCATGCAAAGCTAAATGAAGCTCATTTGTTCCCCTACAACCATACTGTATGAAAATTGGCACACTCTCAATATGGAAGAATAGGCATTACATAGTGTAATACCCATCCCTAAAGAGGATGTACTTTAAAATCGGAATGTCTTCTGTACAGATTTCTCTCAGAGAGGTCACAGTATCACAGCAGTATTCATCCAACTCACGTACTAGAACCAATGTGGACGGAAAAAGGAGACTGTCATGTGTCTAACAACATCAGGAAAAAGAAGGAAAAATGTAGCTCATGCACACAGCATCCTATTTATTCACCTCAGGCCTTTGGTGTATTTTGGAGGGATTTCTATATATCCACTTAGGAAGGAGTAATCAAAAGCACAAATACAAAATGTAAAATGACTGTCAAGGAAGGAGTCCTTCAAAAAAGAATCTGGGGTCACAGTGAATCACATAAGAACATAAGAATGGCCGTACTGGGTCAGACCAAAGGTCCATCTAGTCCAGTAGCCTGTCTGCTGACAGTGGCCAGCACCAGGTGCCCCAGAAGGGGTGGACCAAAGACAACGATCAAGCGATTTGTCTCCTGCCATCCTTCCCCAGCCTCTGGAGGCCAGGAACACTATTCCTACCCCCTGGCTAATAGCCTTTTATGGACCTAATCTTCATGAAATTATCTAGCTTCTCTTTAAACTCTGTTACAGTCCTAGCCTTCACAGCCTCCTCTGGCAAGGAGTTCCACAGGTTGACTACACGCTGTGTGAAGAAGAACTTTCTTTTATTAGTTTTAAACCTGCTACCCATTAATTTCATTTGGTGTCCTCTAGTTCTTCTATTATGGGAACTAATAAATAACTTTTCTTTATTCACTCTCTCCACACCACTCATGCTTTTATAGACCTCTATCATATCCCCCTTCAGTCTCCTCTTTTCTAAACTGAAAAGTCCCAGTCTCTTTAGCCTCTCTTCATATGGGACCCGTTCCAAACCCCTGATCATTTTAGTTGCCCATATCACAAACTAAATATGAGTCAACAATATAACTCTAGGGCCAACTCCCCTCTTCCACCACAAATACCATTGTAGGGTAATTCTACTAGCTTCAGCACTGAGTGGGTTTGAGTATAGTGTCCAGTTTTGGGCACCGCATTTCAGAAAAGATACGGACTCCCCATCACTGGAGATTTTTAAGAAAACTCTAAATCAGCATCTGTCAGGAATAGACTCTAGATAATAAACTTAGTCCTGCCTCCGTGCAGGGGACTGGACTAGCTGGCCTGACAAGATCCCTTCCAGCCCTACATTTCAATGATATAAAGCAGAAAAGAAATATGAGGTTTTAGATGTAGCATTATCACGGAGACATTTGCTTTTCGTATAGGCACAAACTGTGGTGTTATAACTGGGGATGTCACCGTACAGATGACTACACGATTAACCAATAAGCCTGAGCTTATCGGTTAATCTGGTCAACTACATGCATTCCCCTCCCCCAACCCCACGCTTGCTGCCTCTGTATTGGAGGCAGCAACAGGGTGGGACAGGGAGGTGGAAAGCGTGAGCCAGTGGCCATGAGGAACTGGCTTAACAGCCAGCTCCCCACAAGCCCCAGATTTGCCTGCCCCCCTCCACCCCTGCGCTGTTGCCTCTAATAGAGAGGCAGCATGGAGCTAATACGCATGGGCAGCCAGCTTTAAAGGAAGCTCTGCAGACCTGACTGTCCGTTCCCCTACCCCCCGCCTGCCAACTGCCTCTAATAGAGACAGCAAGGGGAAGCAGGCAGGAGTCGGTTCCCCTCAGCACCGGCTCCACAGTGCTGCTTGTCCCCTCTCCCCCCATGCTGGTGCCTCTATCAGAGAGAGGCAGCAATGCAGGGGGGTGGGTTGCAGGGGAAGCTGCCATGAAGCAGCCTTTGTCTGTAGCAGGCCCAAGCCCCCTGCTGACAGAGGCCGTTCCGCATCCCACATAACTGCTACGTTTCCATGTGGTTTACACGACTATTGAATTACACTCTAGCTAACATCCCTAGTTATAACCGTGTTTAAGCAAAACTTGCCCAACATTTGCAACAATATTAAGAAGAGTAACAGTCAACAACTGGTGAGTTTTAAAAACTTATTGTAGAACAACTTGACGTTTACTATATTTATCTAGAAGGGGAGTTTTATTGTCTACTCACATACCAAAAGGCGGTGTCATGAAGCCCCATTATCTTTAAAAATTCCTTCAACCTCTTCTCCTTTTCTGCTACAATATGTATTGCCAAATAATACCCAAAGGGTGAGAAAGCTATTACTAGGTAAATTAAAATAGTTGCTCGAGGAAAATAATCTATTTGCAAGTCAGCAGCCTCTCCCATAACAACAGCTTTCGTTGATTCCAGTTCTTCCCAGACTGAACGATTAGTCTTCAGCTAAGAACAGAGTGAAAGAATATTTGATTCAGTTTTGATTTTATAGCTCCACCAACCAAATAAAACCCAATCCTGGAGGCATTTATATAGCAACTGGCATAAATAGGCTGACAGATTTCCCTGGGATTTTAAATCAAATATGGCCTGGTGGGTTTGTAGGCCTGGGGCCTAAATTTCTCCATGATCCAGAATTTTATAGATCAAAAAGGAGAGAAAGATGATCTTCTATGGGGAGATGGAGACAGCAAGAAAACAAAACATTGGGCTGCCTACCTCCTATGAAGGAGATTGATCTATGGAAGAACTTGTCAAAGAACTAGAAAGAAGTAGTGGGAAAGAATTCAAAACAAACACTGTCAGGAACAAATCAAACCAATTCATCAGTTAGATCAGGGCTACTCAGAGCCCATGGCCCGTTTGTTTGTGGCCTGCGGTGAGGTTTGGGTTTACACTGGGCTCGACCCACGGGTGGGATCCTGTGAACATGGCCTCCACTGGGAACATGCCCCACAATGGCGAGGCATCTCCCAAGTGGGGGGAGCACTGAAAGGCGCAAGCGGACAGGCTGGCTGGAACAGACGGGTACAGGGTGTAGATGTTTCTAGCCCCCAGGGAAGAGGTGCTGGGAGCAATGGGGCATTGTGGGAAGTGCTTTGTATTCATGCCCGTCAGTGCGAAAGAAGCTATTTGCATGTACATGCAACCGCACTTAAGTTGCGGCCCTCGGCACGTGCTGTGAGTATCATTGTAGCCCTGAGACAGATAGACGTTAGGTAGTAAAACAATTAAGACCGTCAACTCAACAAAGCAGCAGCTTCATCCCGCTGCAGGACCGGCATACACAACTGCCTCAACTTGTGTTAGAGAAAGTACACATCCAAGTTTGGCTGCGCGTATCCATTGGCTTGTAGGACACCCTGGTATCTACTCTCCAGCCTGCAATGTCTGACGTTTTACAGAATGGCTCAAACTGTCAACCTGGGGCAACTGCTGCACACTCTCCACTCAGAATTATTAGACACTGGCGTTATGTCCAAGCTGTGAATATAGCCCTGCATATCCGGGGGTAGCTGCTTCAATACTGTGGATACCCACTCAGGGCTCTCCCTCACCTCCCGCCTCGGCCAGCCAGGGCCGGCACCAGGCCTCTGCAGTGCCGGCAGGGAAAGACCGCAGCAAGCTCCATCTGAAGTCTCCCTGCAGGAGGGGCCGGGTGCTAGCTCTGCCCAGCTCCCTGCCCCCCGCTTGCCTCGTGAGCACTGACACATGGTGTCCCAGCCCTGGGTACCTGCTGCCCCTTTCCCACACCACGGGCCTACTTTTGTGCTGCCTGCTTCTTCCCTCCATGACCCTGCCTCCTCCTTGTTCATCTGTGTTCCCTCCCCTCCCCCCTCCAGATGGTTTGTGGTGGGGATGCAAGACAAATCCATATCACGGATCAGATGACAAGTTGAGCTTGGAGGATGTGGAGCTGCACGTTTGCACCCAGGCAGGGCTCTAACTATTAACCACTACAGTCATCAAAAGTCAAGCTAGCACGGCTGCGTCCAAGCACTAGCCACGTTCAACGCTCCTGACATCTCCGCACTATTCCTAATGAAACGAGAGTATTCACAGTATCCATTGCAAAGCATCCACAAGAAAAGCAAGGAGGCGAGTAACGCTGCTTTTCAAAACTTCCATGCCTGTCACTTTTGTTTTGTATCTGTCACTTCTGCATGTCGCTTAGCTAGTCAGCGGTTTTCACATCCTTACAACCTGCCATGGGAGCTACTCCAGAATTTTAAGATTTTTCTAGGCATCTTTTAAATCTATATGAAGTGTACGCTTGCTGTGCAGGTTAAACAAAAGCATACAGCTCTAAAAGATCCTATGGGATTGGTCCTGCTTTGGGTAGGGGGCTGGACTTGATGACCTCCTGAGGTCTCTTCCAGCTCTAAGATTCTAGCCCATATGAAAAGCTAGATCTTAAGTCAGCACTGGATACACACCAGCCAGTTACAATCTCTTCGGAGTAAAAAAGAGTTCTGGGGAATGAGAAATATTTTCCCCGATTTCTTAGCATCTTTTGTCCCCAACCTTATACATTGGGGTAGGGGGGAGGAAAGCAGGGGGCAGATCTTCCTTCCAGTCACCACTTAGACTAGTCTGAAGCGTGCATCCATTCAAACAACCCGTCTTGTTACAAATCAGTGATGGCAAACCACTTCGGGCACGTCTACACTTGCACCCTCTTTCGAGATGCAAATGAAGCTGAGCAAAACTGCAAATGAAGCGCAGATTTAAATTTCCCATGCTTCATTTGCATAATCGTGGACTGCCGCTAATTTCGAAATAGGGTATTTCAAAATAGCGGCAGTCCACGATTATGCAAATGAAGTGTAGGAAATTCAAATCCGCGCTTCATTTGCAATTTCGCTCAGCTTCATTTGCATCTGTCTCTCAAAAGAAGGTGCAAGTGTAAACATATTTTTCTTTTTAAAAAAAGAAGGGTAAGTTGCAGTGTTAAGTCAGTTCATTTTAAAAAGGGCCAGAAGCAACGGGGGTGAAACATCTCCAGCCTGCCCCCATTTAATCAATAACTTTATGTTTAACTAATTAAACCGGATTTTACATCCCCGACTGTGCACATGGGTGTTTATATCGATATAACTTATGTTGCTCAGAAATGGGGGAAGGATACCCAAGTCATACAAGTTTTGCTGACCCAGACTGTAGTGTAGACACAGTGGAACAGGACAAAACAACTCTCATTACAAAAATGCCACATGAAAGGCCATTTAAGCAATTTTGCCTTTTCGTTTTACTGGGTGATATTTACCTGTATAATTGCGGCATCGATACAAGCTTGAAGGGCTGCAAATCCTGAGTGCCAGTATCTAACAGATTCACATTCCTTTGATAAACTGGAACAACTGGCTATGGAAAAATAAAGACATTTTGAAGCAAACACCTGGAGTTATTTGTTTCTTATTCAGGATGTAAAATACTGTATCTAAAGGGAATCCATTATTATGGTGGGAAGAATTTCTTTGGTATCACAAATGTAACCGACACAATCTCATTTATACCACTATAATAAAAAGACCTTTTCTATGAAGCAGCCATAAAACTTGATAAGTATGTTGTAAAATCGACAGTAACTTCACAAGCCTATGGCTGCTATTAAAACAATCACGCGATAGAGCCAGTTGTGGGATAACTTTTCAGCCACTTTGTGGAGTATAGGTGGAGAACGACTATTCTATGTTATGGACAGAAACCTGCCAAATTAATGAAAACCAAGCTTTTTTGCAGTTATGAAAGTAGAAGGACTTCAAGCCACCGTGAGGAGATTCATGCATGGACTAAAAAAGCCAGGGAAACGAAATGATGAGAATAAGCTTGACCTGTGAATTCTACCGTAACACTTTTGTGAGAAATAAACAACTTCACAGGGAATCATTCCTAGAATGAAAATGCAACTTTAAGACAAGTTTCTAATGGTGAAAAGCTGTGTGTGAAATACAGACCTTTACTTAAAGTTTAGACTATCTACACTTCACCCTCTGAAGAATATTTTTCTAGCATCCTTAAAGAAAGGGAAGAGGATTTGCAAGATAACACCCTCCAGTGGTGGTGAAGTTGGTGAGGATGCTGGGGATATCATTACAGCTTCTCATGTCCTAATGGTATCATACTTTTCGGAGCTTATCAAAACAGAACCAATGCTGAAATCCTGGTACTACTAAAGTCAGTGGAAAAACTGCCCCTGCCTTACATTTTCACCCCTTGTTTTTACATGCTTGTGAAGAAGTCTGTTCCATTCGGGCACTCTGTAAATACCACCAAATTACTGCTACAGAAAGACAATCACGTAACACAGATATTTGTGCCCTAACTATCCCTGTAACCACTCCCAGTATAGGAAGGCAACTCCCAGCATTTTTAAGGAAGTTCTCTATCAATAACAATCCAGCACATCTCCTGTGCATCAAAATGCCCCAAACAGTGAAAAACAAGGTTTTCTTTCCCCTTTCTTATTGTACTGCTGCTAACACCACTGCTGTTTATGCGCCTTGGCTTTCTCGTGATAACGTCTTTCTTGTGAGATACCAAAGTCTGCACTTCACATCACATATGATGTCATAACAAAAACAGGTCAAATTTCCAGTTCACTGCCTTAAAAGTAGTCTGTGTATTTACCTCTTGATTCTACATTGACAGAAGACACTGAGACAGTATCAGGAAAGAATCTAAGCTGGTAGGACATGGAATCTTTGAAAACTACCCCAACAAAGTTTGAGGGCTTAAAAGTACTAGCCTCTTGCAGATCTTCTTCACTGAAAAATTCTTCTGTAATTACATCTGTAAAATATTAAAAATGAGAATTACACCAGAATACCTCTGAGAAAAGATCAAAAGTTAACTATGTATTTTAAGCAAAGATTGTGTCATTTATAAATAGGGCTACTTGTTTTCAGAATTTATTTCCAAATTTTGGCCCCATTAAAATTCATACCAAGTCCAGTATGAGTTTTTAAAGGAAAACACATTTTAAAAATGAAACTTTGCAGGGACTCAAAAACATTTATTGTTGCAATCAGAAGCCACATATCACTCCCAAATGTGAAATTCTTCAGAAAGAACTTTAAACCATCATATCAGGATATATATTAAAAAAAAAATTCAAGATTCAGGTAGTGGTATCAGGGCTTCTTTTCCTCTTGGCAGTCATCTGTCAGAGGCACCATCCAAGTTACAAGTTCCTAGGAGGTTTTGGGGGGAGAATCAGTTTCAGCTACACAGCTGTGCCAGCTCTGCAATAGAGGCACAACCTAACTGTTGGAGGATTGGGCCACAAGAAATCGGATGAGGTTCAACAAGGACAAGTGCAGAGCCCTGCACTTGCGATGGAAGAATCCTAAGCATAGTTACAAGCTGGGGACCAACCAGTTAGGTAGTAGTTCTGCAGAAAAGGACCTGGGGGTTACAGTGGATGAGAAGGCTAATGGCATATTAGGTTGCATTAAGAGGAGCATTGCCAGCAGATGGAGAGAAGTGATTATTCCCCTTTATTTGGCTCTGGTGAGGCCACATCTGGAGTACTGTGTCCAGTTCTGGGCCTCCCACTACAAAAAGGATGTGGACGCATTGGAGAGGGTCCAGTGGAGGGCAACCAAAATCATTAGGGGGCTGGAGCATATGGCTTATGAGGAGAGGTTGAGGGAGTTGGGTCTGTTTAGTCTGCGGAAGCGAAGAGTGAGGGGGGTTTTGATAGCAGCCTTCAACTTCCTGAAGGGAAGTTCCAAAGAGGATGGAAAAAGGCTGTTCTCAGTAGTGACAGATGGCATAACAAAGAGCAATGGTCTCAAGCTGTGGTGGGAGAGGTCCAGGTTGGATATTAGGAAAAACTATTTCACTATGAGGTTGGTGAAGCACTGGAATGTGTTCCCTAGGGAAGTAGTGGAGTCTCCATCCCTAGAGGTGTTTAAGTCTCGGCTTGACAAAGCCCTGTCTGGGTTGATTTAGTTGGGATTGGTCCTGCCTAGAGCAGGGGGCTGGACTTGATGGCCTTCTGAGGTCTCTTCCAGCTCTATGGTTCTATATTCTATTTTTTAAAATCCATTTTAAAACCAGATACTGACGTGGTACCAAGTGAAACCTTTATTAAAAACAACTCGTTCTGTAGTACACACAGATCTAAATCTAAAAGCCCTAATTAAAACAGAATCATAGAACTAGAAGAGACCTTTAAAGGGCATTAAGGCCAGTCCCATACACGCAGGGCAGGACCAAACACCATCAAGATCATCCCTGACAGGTGGTTGTCTAAACTGCTCTTAAATATCTCCATTGATGGAGATTCCACAATCTCCCTAGTTTATTCCACTGCTTCACCACCCTGACAGGAAGCTTTTTCTAATGTCCAACCTAACCCTATCTTGCTGAAATTTAAATCCTTTGCTTCTTGTCCGATCATCAGAGGTTAAGGAGAATAATTTTTCACCCTCCTCCTTGTAACAACCTCTTAGATACTAGAAAGCTGCTATCATGTCCCCTCTCGATCTTCTCTTTTCCAAACTAAACAAACTCAATTCTTTCAAACCTCCCTCACAGGTCATGTTTTCTAGACCTTTTTTCTCTTCTCTGGAGCCTCTCCAATTTGTCCACATCTCTCCTGAAATGTGACACCCAAAACTGGACATAATACTCCAGTTCAGGACTAATCAATGCAGAATAAAGTGGAAGAATTATTTCTTGTGTCTTGCTTACAACACTCTTGTTAATGCATCCCAGAATGATGTTTGCTCTTTTTGCAACAGCGTCACACTCATTTCCTACTCTGTATGTGTGTAATGGATTGTTTCTTCCTAAGTGGAGAATTTTGCATTTGTCCTTATTTAATTTCACCCTATTTACTTCGGACCATTTCTCAAGTTATCAAGATCATTTTGAATTTTCATCCTCTCCTCCAAAGCACTTACTTGCAACCCCGCCCAACTTGGTAGCATCCGCCAACTTGATAAATGTACTCTCTGCACCATTATCCAAATAATTAATGAAGATATTGAACAGAACCAGTCCCAGAATGGATCCCTGCGGAACCCACCTATTACACCAGTACAGTAATTCCTCATAGATACATTTCTGAAAATGTTTGTGCGAAGCGAAAATGTGATATGCGGGGTTGCATTTCAGGTGGTGGTGGCAAAGTCAATTTTTTGTTGGTGCTGGGTTGCCAACATCAACATTAGATATCTAGCAACACAAGTCGCCGTAATTTGTTAAAACACAAAGATAAACACATGAGTGAGCGGAGGAGCGCTGTGACTACGTGTATTCATCCGCTCATGCGTATTACCACTGTTTTCACCAACTTATACTGCCGTGCAAAGTAGTCTGCCACTTGATAATTTTTGTGTTATTTTGGGGACGGTTGTGTTATTCGAAAAACATTCCCTAAAAAAAATCGTGCTATTGCGAAAACGTGTTAAGTGGGCATGTGTTAAATAAGTAATTACTGAAAATCTGTTAGTTAATGCAAGGTAAAATCTTTTTAGTTTGATGACACTAAGCCCAATCCTGAAACCCTCACTCACGGCATGAGTCACTAAGGGCCAGATGGACAATACAGCAATTGATACTGTGGAGATTGATTTATCATGTCTATCTCAGAGGTCATAAATCAACCACTAATTACAGTGTTGTCGAGTCCAGCACTCCACTTCCACAAGAAGCAGAAGAGGAGTCAACCGGAGAGTGTCTCCAGTCGACATGCCACAGTGAAGAAACCACAGCTAGCAGATCTAAGACATCTATTTCAGGTACGTTATTTACAAAGCTGAAGTTGCTTAATTTAGATGGCTCTCCCGAGGCAGTGTAGACCAGCCCTCAGGCGAGTCATCCTTCACGTCAATGGGACCACTGGTGAGAAAAAAGGCTAGTAGTGTGAGTAAAGGCTACAAGATTGAGCATGTGATTGGCGTCGCGCAAAGCTTATTATTGGCTGAAGCAGACAACGATGGCATCACAGCCCTTTCAAGATCTCAGCAGTAGAGGAGAGAAATACTGTTCAATCTACCTGAAGAGGATAAGCTGATCAATCATTCAAAGTAGTACTAGTGCATTTTCCGGCTACATGCAAAAAAGAACCCAAGATATGGAAGAATAAAATAAATACAATACCATCCGCACAGTATTCAAGAGACACTTTCTGCATGATTTTTCTTGTCATGTTTGTCACTGGCGTGTAGCCAAGAACCAAGTTGCTGAGCATGGAGCGATCTAATGCACCAAGATCAGTGTTGGGTACCTCATCAAACTTCCTATTTGGATGCAACATGCTCATTAGTATAAGCCAAAATAAAAAAAATAGTGGAAATAGGACTTCCTGTTGAAAAAAAAAACAGAAACAAGACAATGTAAATCTCTCACGAAGTTTACTTAAATTATAAATGCTGCAACTAAATGACTGTGTCCTTTTCGAATTATTTGTTCATAAAGCTTCCTGCACGTTTATTACACTACATAAATAATCATTCCTATCCCAGCTAAGAGCCACAGGATTTTGCTAACTTGGAGTGAACTTGGAAAACTATCTTAGGAGGCATCTTAGGATGCAAGTGCATCATTCTAACTCCTGGCAAGTTATAAAAACCCAAGAGCAAGCTCTGTGCTTGCACTGAAGTGAGTGGATTTACATGGATGAAGCTGGTGGGAGAATTTGACTTCAGGTGTTTTAGTGTGTGGTCTCTTATCTAGCACGATTTGGCTTTTGGTACAAACTTAACATTTGCGTTAACTGAAAATGAAAAAGAACATGTACATATTTCCAGCCACAGAACAGGTAAACAAGTCAAACCAAGCCTGGTCTTGCCAAACAACTATGTGAATTGTTCTCTTGTTGACCTTTGCAGATCCCTCTACAAACTCAGGTTTGTCACATAATAGAGCTGTTGAGTAAAATTTTATAATAGGTCAATTTTAGAAATGACACCCTCACCTATACTTCCAATGCAATATATTACTCATTGTATTTTTTTAAATGTATTGTTCTGTGTAATGTTAACATTTTGGGCTCCTGTTAACATTACACAAAAGGACCTTTCAGCCCAGACTTCCAGAGTTATGTGTATTCATATGGCTCATGTGCCAGACCAGAGGATTCTAGCTGGGAATGCACTTTCTAGTTCTGCCTCTCTCGTGCGACCTGATGCTAAGCAAGCTACTTAGCCTGCCTGCAACCATTTCCCCCATCAGCAAAATGGGTATTAGAAGGCTTCATCAATGTTTCATAACGTGCTTTAACATTCAAGGATGAATGAGAAAGCACTCTGAAATATGATGTCCTCATCAACAACACTATTTTCTTAATTATCATTTAAACTATTTATAAACATTTGATTGAATGGTTCTTAAAAGAAACCCCAGCGGGTCGGTGCTATTACCTAATTGCTCTTAGTAGTAGTTTTTCCTTGATAAATAAAAGTCATTCTAAATATAATCCTGCATATATGTAAATCTACCTTAAAATACCGAATGTTAATTTTACCACAGTTGGCCAGTTATACTCTCTAGAACATGAATAGAAAATTTGATATTACCACATTAATACACAAAGACATACAGCAAGCATATTTCTATAAAAACAAGGAGTCCTGTGGCACCTTCATAGCATCATAAAATTTGAAGAGACCTCAGGAGGTCATCGAGTCCAGCCCCTTGCCCAAAGCAGGACCAATCCCAACTAAATCATCCCAGCCAGGGCTTTGTCAAGCCAAAACTTAAAAACCTCTAGGGATGAGACAATTGCCACCTCCCTAGGAAACCCATCCCAGTGCTTCACCACCCTCCTAGTGAAATTGTTTTTCCTAATATCCAACCTAGACCTCCCCCACTGTAACTTGAGACCATTGCTCCTTGTTCCGCCATCCATCACTACTGAGAACAGCCTCTCTCTATCCTCTTTGGAATCTCCCTTCAGGAAGTTGAAGGCTGCCATCAAATCCCAAATCCCTCCTCACTCTTCTCTTCTGCAGACTAAATAAGCCCAAATCCCTCAGCCTCTCCTCATAAGTCATGTGCTCCAGCCCCCTAATCATTTTGGTTGTCCTCCGCTGGACCCTTTCCAATGCGTCCACATCCTTTTTGTAGTGGGGGGCCCAGAATTCAATGCTAACACATTTATTAGGGCACTAGAAGACTTACCTGACATTACTTGGGTCCTTCAGGGCAGGGGGCTGGCATTGGGGGGCGGTGCAGCAGTCAGAGCTGGGCCTTGGGGATGTGGGGGGAGGGGTAACAGTGAGGGTTGGGGATGAGGAGCAGCTCAAGGCAGGTGATCCCATCTGGGGGTGCTTTCTTCCTCCCCCAGCTGCCTTTTCCTTTCCCCCCCCTCGCCCACTCCCCCAGAGACCAGGGGTCCAGAGGCCTTTTGCCTTCCCTCCCACCCCCAAACACCTCCAGCCACCAGGGGCATTCCCCCCCCCCTGCACTGTAGCCAAGATCCTGGGTGGGAAGGGTGTTTGGGGAATGGGGGCAACTTACCCAGTCTGGTGGCAGGCAAGATGGCAAAGCCCCAGTCCTGCTGATCACTCTCTTGGTAGCGTGGCTGCCCCCAGTGGCCAGTCTCAGTATCACATCCCTCCTCTCTGTGCCTCCTCCTTTTCCATGTATTGGAAAACAATCCCATTCCCAGCACTTCTCATTCTCTTGGCACAACCAAACCCTGGCCTTACGTTAAGAGAAAGCTGTCTACCAAATGTGGTGGCCCTAGTTCTTACCATTTAGGAGGTTTTATATATATATATATGGAGCTATACCATCTCATAGAGCTGGAAGGGACCTTGAGAGGTCATCAAGTACAGTCCCCTGCCCTCACAGCACCACCAAGTACCATCCCTGACAGATTTGCCCCAGATCCCTAAATGGACCCTTGAGGATTGAACTCACAACCCTGGGTTTAGCAGGCCAATGCTCAAACCACTAAGCTATCCCTCTTGAACCGATGCACAGAGAGACGCCCAGACATTTCCAAAATATACAGATAGGTGCGCTTTCATTGCTACAACCCTTTCACTGATTCAATGCAAAGCCTTCATAGGTTTTCATAGCGAAAACATCAGGGGAAGTGGGTTTTGCCCATGAAAGCATACACCCTAACAAAATCTTTTAGTCCCTAAGGTGCCAACCAAACTCCTCATTATTTTTGCAGATACAGCCTAACACATAAACCCTCTGATACTATTTCTAACCGAAGGATGATAGACGGAGCTAAGGTATTTTAGACCTAAGTTCAGACCAGTCAGTTATTCCCTCACCAATCTAAGACAATTTAAGAAAGCTTTGTTTTGTTTCTAATTCAGCTCATTTTTCATCATCAGCCACAGCCACAGAGACTAGTAAATAATCATGGCACCAACCTGTACACTACTCTTCTTGGTCCTGCACTTAACCAGGTAGTTCTTGAATAAAAGAGCTTTTGTTTGTCTCCACACGCCTGCCTCTTCTGCAGTTTCTGTGGCCATTTTTTCAAGTCACCTGTTTAAAAAAAACAAAAAAGAATCTGAAGCGACCACTGTTTGTTGTACCGGTTTACGTTTTTGAATGTTAAAAAGAGACACCATGCGCCAGTTAATTGTATTGTCGTAGGCCACTGAAATTTTTTTCCATTGTGTAGCCAGATCCCACCAGACATTAAGAAGTTTGCACAGATACGCACTCCAAACACGTTTTGCTATCACAGGACAGATGTCAAACTGGGTTACCTTATGGCAGTTTGGCATACGGATACGTCTTTTGCAGAATACAACCTTCTATGCCAGCAAGTAAGTTTTACATCTTAAATAAAACTCTAGCCCTAATGGAATTCCCCCTCCCCCTGATAAAATCATGCAGTGACATGTGCCTGTTTTTGGAGACAGTCTGAAACAATATTTCTGAGTGGTGTCAACTACTCCCGTCCATCCCAACAGTGCAGTAACGGCAATGTAAAAGGCAGCTTTGTTATCTATTTCAGTATGAGCACAGCATGCAAGAAAGAGAGAAAGCATCAAATTATAAAAAAAATGGTATAATTTACTGACAATTTATCTAACAGTTGTACAATCTACAGCAAGTATCATCTCATCTGTGAATGTCTGAAACACTATCCTTTTTTATTTCCTTAATTAACCCGTTTTGAGGCTGGCTTCATGAATTATGAAAGAGTACTATGTGCTGTTCTTTACAGAAACAGGTCTGAACATGTTTTTCAAACAAGACAGGTAGACTACAGCCAAGGTTGGAAATCACAGGTGGATTTTAGTCCTAATTCTACCACTGACTTACTGTCAGGTTTTGAGCAGCTTACATAATCTGTATGTGTCCCCATTTCCTTGGCTGCAAAACAAAAACAACAAAAGCTGATTCCCTGACAGAGATGTTCGGAGACTTAGTTTATGCTTCCACACCACTTCAAAGACAGAAGCCACACTAATGATTAGTAGTACCACCTTCAAGCCCTTTCCAATGGCGGCTGACAGCACAAAGAGGTGACATCATATCCTTAGGAAGAGGGTGAAGCATGATTTAGTGCCCTTCTAGCTACTAATTTGTAAAAACATGCCTGTCCTTTATTAGGAAGACAAGAAGTGGAGAGGGAGCAGGGACAGGATAATGTAAGAATAGATAGGTAAAAAATGTACAGTTTCCATGACGGCCAATAAACTCTGTGTTCGATTTCCAATTGAAAGACAACAACACCGGGCAAGTGCCATATTTGAGGACTTGTCTAAACCAGTGTTTCTCAACCAGTGGTATGAGTACCCTTAGGGGTACTCGAGAGAAGTCTGAGGGGTACGTCAACACAACTGAAATTTGGAGAAAACTGAATTTTTGTTTTAAGTTTTACAGCGCTTTATTATTTTTGTACTTTTTACACCCAAACATGTCATCGCCTGCCCAGCTACAGTTAAGTTGTTTAAAAAAATGTGAGGCAATGGTAGAAAAAAAATCTGTGTGTCTGAAAACTGTAGGTACTGGGAGTATTTATAATTTTTTGTAAAGGGGCACTTTATAAAAAAAAAAGGCTGAGAACACTGGTCAAGACTAACTGCCCCCATCCATCTAATCCACATGACTTCAGCTACACAAATAGCTTTTTGCCCTGGTGGAGTACCAGAGTCAATGAGAAAGCACTCGGAGATTGACTTATCGCATCTAAGCAGACACACTAAATCAACCACTAGTGGACTGATCGCTGCCTTAATCCACCACATAGTGGAGACAAGCACTGAGAAGAAGAGTCCAGAGCACCGAGATGCTTTGCCACTAAAGGGGTCATATAGCCATTTCTCAAATTCTGCACCAAAATATGAAAAAGGATGATTATAATAAAAATAAAATAATTATGTGTAGGATTGTATTCCATGCTCTATAACTATAATTGGTATTTTTTCTTCACTGTACAAAGTGCACGTAACGATATCCATTTACACCAGGCAGTTTACGGTTATTCACTAAACTATGCTACTAAACTGTAGAAACTTGCTTTTAAAAGTACAGAAATCATCTGAGAAAAAGGACAGACTCGATTAAGCTGAAACGGACAGGATTTATTTTCATTTGGGGCATCAAAAACATTAAGTAAAACAAGCTGGTTTTAGTCAGATACGTATACAGCAATAAGTTTGGGGGTAAGGTGAGGGGGGGAAACAGAACTACTTCTTGCTTATTTAGACCGTGGTGCTGAATTCAAATCCATCTAGGCAGATATCTGCTTTTGTGCAGTACCCCACTGATGTCAACATGAGGCTGTAAGGGTCCATCTTTGTAAATTCAGTTGGGGCATCGGGACCTTAAAAGGTCATTTCTACAGGTTCAAGAACAGCAAATCTCATTGAGGGATTCCATTTAGAATATGTGGCAACACATTTTTGAAAAAATAAATCAAGCTTATATACAAGAGACCTTTGTGATCTGAGGAATTGCTACTCGTGGTTTCACATATTCATGGGTATCTCCTGTCTTGGCCTGAGGGGGGCAGTGGTAGCTGGGAACCATGGGGAATTCCCTGCAGCTCCTGGGTCCCCAAAGTGAGTTTCTCCACTGGTCCTAGCCCCTGAAATGAGTTCCCTGTAGCTCCCAAAGAGAATTAAGGAGCCGCTGGGAGTTTACCATAGGGCCAGGAGTAGTGGCTCCCAGTATTTGTGAATTTTGCCACTTGCGGTGGTGCCAGGAACGCATGCACAGAGAATAGCCAGGGTCTCCTGTATTAAACACCACTATTTTTTATTTTGTTAAAAGAAAAATGGAACAAAAGCTCTTTGAAGGCGAACCTATGTTAACAGTCAGATCTGATGGGGAAAAGTGCAAATATAATTTCTCTAGAGATGTTCAAATCTACTGATTTAAACTGGATGTTAAACAGAGTTGTGATGTGTATTGCTATTTGTATTTGTTTTCATTCATGCTTAAATCCTGCTCTTGAATTTCAAATATCCCTACAGAAATCATCAGATTCTGCAAACACCTATGCCTGTAAGTAGCCAGACAGATTTGTGTGTGTTTGCAGACCTGGGCACTAAATCTACATGCCCTCTTTTACTCTTTTTTTAAGGTGAATAAAAATGCAACCTCTAAGTTAGGCTAGTCCCCATTTAATTAGCTAAGTAATCATTTAAGACCAATTATCATAGCCAAAAATACTTCAATGGGTAATTCACCAAATTACCCAGTTATAGTTAAGGGGCAAAAATAGATTCAAAAGCATTACATTAATCCCTAATATTATCCCTTGTAAAGTATCCTCACAGAAGACTCTGGAAGTGCATAAAATAAAATTGCATTTCAAACAGCTGAGAATATATCAGACTTCCCTGCAATCAGCACTGATAAGGAAAGTGACTTGAAGCAAGGTTATCTGGGGGATGTTTCAGTCAAAGCAATGACCAGAAAATTGCTGTCTTTCTAAGTCATTTTCACATGTGAATGCAGATGTCTATATCAGTGCAGCACAAGGACGGTACTAAAAACAGATGAGGGGAGTGACAAATTATTTTTCTTCAATCAAATGGCCTTTTAGCAACAACTGCACTGACTTTAAATGGGAAAAAAATGCTAAATGCTAGACTGTAGTATAGTCATTCACAATTTAGCTTGTTTGCTTGTTTAGGCTGAAAGTCAAAGCAATGTGCCAGTCTAACTTCAGTTGGAAAAACCGTTGAAAAAGCAACAACCAAGCCAGTGCTGAAGGAAAAATAAAACCCTGGCACAGGAAGATGACGCTGTACGAAGAGAAACAGTTTATTTTCCCTGCTGGCCATCAAGCTGTAGGAAGGCACCAGACATGACCATAACAAAGAGAAATGCCCTCATCCGTTCTGCCAGCTTCTCAAACATTTTAAACTAAGTGCCTGATTTAAGAATGTTACAAAGGGAACTAAATTTTTCCTCCATCTGAGCCCTAAGGAAACAACCATGTCTTTCTCTCTCATGAATGCCAGCCAGACTTCAGTATTGGTGGAACAATACATTTATCGCCAAGTTAGAGATGACTATTTAACTACAGAGTAGTATCAGTTGAAAATATAATCCACCCTGGTTTAGACCAGTGTTTCTCAACCTTTTTTTAATATAGTACCCCTTTTAAAAAAAGTTATAAGTACCCCCAGTACCTACAGTTTTCAGACACACAATTTTTTTTTCTACCGTTGCAACACAATTGTTTAAACAACTTAATCATAACCAGGCTGTGGCGGGAGATTAAATTTTTGGGTGTAAAAAGTACAAAAATAATAAAGCACTGTAAAACTTAAAACAAAAATTCAGTTTTCTCCAAATTTCAGTTGTGTTGACGTACCCCGCAGACTTCTCTGGAGTATCTCTAAGGACACTCGTACCACTGATTGAAAAACACTGGTTTAGACAATGGCTCCTTATCTCAGTGGTCTGATACTTTCCTATTTTTCTCTGATCCGGCCAACTGCTATCCCGCCCTAGAGACTTTTAGCAGATTCCTAATTCCAAGTTTTCTCTGACAAAACTTTTGTTTCTTTGCCTGTAAACTTGTGGAAAATATCCCATCTTGATCCTCTCCATTTTTCGTTTCCCTCCTTGCTCCACATTCTCTCTTCTAAATTCAAGCAAGTCTACCAGAACTAAAAGATACGCATCGACTACATTTTATAATGCTCATTGTACAATTATGGGCGAACGTACAACACATGTAGTAGCTAAAGCTCTGGTAGAATGAAAGGTTTCACATGCCTGAATAGAGTTATGCGTCTCAATCTTTTTTTATCTAGATCAGTCACCACGTATAGTACAGATACAACACAACAGATAGTGGAGCAGGGGGGGGGGAGTTCCAAAACTGAATACTGTACATGTAAAGCAAAAACATCCCTAATGTTCCAATGTCCCACATATGATCAAAGTGGGGAGGGGGAGCTCCATAATCCCTGAAGGGGTGGGGCCTGGGCAGAAGTGGCGGGGCTGGTGGCAGCCAGCCCTCTGTGCCACCTGCAGCATGGTGCATCCCATCCCCCTAACCTCCAGCCCTTAGCGCGACAGTGATTGAAAAGGTTTTGGGCTCCAGCCACCACTGCTGCTGCTGCCAAAGTAGCAACCAGAAACCCTGGGCCCTTTTGAATTACCGAGCCCTGAGGTATCTTCCCCCTTTGCATGCCCCCCTGCAAGTTGGTGGGCCTGATTTGGAAATAAAGTATTAAAACAACATTTAGATACAAAAGAAAACCCATTTCCTCACCCACTTCCCTCTCCTAACAGGTATGTGGCCTCCTGCCTGCTAGCTCTGTTTTATAAATGACTAAAGGCCCATCATTTGAACGTGACAGCTCATTTCAGAATCTGTGCCTCCATTTTCCCAACTGCAAAATGGGTATAGTGATAGTCACCTACCTCATGGGTTGCTACAAGGCTTCCTTAACGTCGGTAGGGCACAGGGATGTCCTTAGGTGCAAGGCTCCACAAAAGCGCAGGAGAATTACACACTGTACACTAACAAAACAAACCTTGTTGACAACCCGGATAGATAACAGAGAATATGTGGTTATTGCCTTTCTAATTCTAGACATTACAAACACATAACTATTCACCTGTCCTACCTACATTATAAAGTTATAGATCCACGCACATTACAATGGATATTTGAGCCAAACTGGCACATGGTTTTACCAATGGTGTGATATATCCATTATATATTTTAGAGAGTTTGTCTGCCTGTTTGATCAAGAACTCTTCCTAAATGGTTAGAGCTAGAAGCACCAAATACAGCATATAGCTTCCTCTTATCATTATTTAAAACAACGTAAGGGTTAGCCTGTGCAAGGAAAATGAGATGTGCCTGGAATAGGATTGCTTCTCATAAAACCAAACAAAAAACTGACAGACTCACCAAAGCAAGTACAGTCCTCAAAACTGACATCACTGAGCAAATGCTGAAACGGACTGAACCAAGATGAGGCAGAAAAATAGGAACAGGAATAGGATTGCTTCTCAATAAGCCTTACAGAAAAGACACAAAACTAAGAAATTGGGAGTAATGCTCTTGTTTTGGCACAGCTACATTGATGCTTAAACTAGAAGAAAATGTTATTGGAAACTAAATTGACAAAAGCTCCATTTTTGCTGGTTAAAACAGTGAATGATAAGAGTTTATAGGGATGAAGAACTAAAATACATTTGATGGAATCCCCAGATTAGGGATTTAGGGACTTGCATACACCCCGTAGTTCACATTTATACACACAAACACCGATTACATGCTATTGGCAACTCCATGCTCCAGTTGGGCTGGACTATTGTAATGTATGTGTATATATTGTATCTGCTCTATAATGTGTGCAGTCAGGCACACACACACAATTTCTTAAGGCCCCTTGCTGTCTATCACTGCACCCCCCCCACACACACACTCACTCACTTACATACACACACACACACTTCACTTTCTTAAGGCCCCTTGCTGTCTATCACTGCACCCCCCCCACACACACACACTTACTGCAACACACACAATTTCTGTATCTGCTCTATAATGTGTGCAGTCAGGCACACACACACAATTTCTTAAGGCCCCTTGCTGTCTATCACTGCACCCCCCCCACACACACACTCACTCACTTACATACACACACACACACTTCACTTTCTTAAGGCCCCTTGCTGTCTATCACTGCACCCCCCCCACACACACACACTTACTGCAACACACACAATTTCTTCCTGCCCCTTGTAATCTATGACTGCACCACACAATTTCTTAAGGCCCCTTGCAGTCTATCACTGCAGCCCCCCCCC